AAATATGATATTGAATTACATTTATTTGATGAGCATTATATGACAAAAGTATAATTTAACAAAACATAGGATTTCTTGAGCGAAGGCCCTGTCTGTAGCTTGAATTGGAAGCTTCTAGATCCAGCTATGACTGCTGAGGGCAAAGGCAGGGGCGGAGCCTACTCCCCTGGACAGGGCCAACCTGGTGGTGGTGGGGAGGATGATGGGTGAACATCTGCATCAGTATCTGCAACCAAATGAATGAAATGAATTGACAGCTTATATATTGCTTGTGTCTTTTGGCTATTTGTTGGAACTAATTGTAATGAGTGACGTGACATTAGGTATTCCTTGTGCCTTGTGGCTATTGGTTGAAATTGATTGTGATATGAAAAAATGATGTGACATTAGGTCTGTCTGGTAGAACTAGCACTAAAAGCTACATCTCTGTCATTGTTTATGCACCCTCACATTGTTCTAAACCACAAACAAATATCAGTTCCTCCTTTAAAAGTCTGTTTACTCAAAATTCCAACACTTCAAAAGATTCATAAAGATATAGAATTAGCATATTTACCGTTCTTCACAATAAACATGGTTGTTTCTTTATGTGAAATAATTAAATTTAGGCTTTAATGGATTTATTTTGGCTTTTAGCATCAATTATCTCAAGTATGCTTGTTGTGTGAGAACCAGTGATTTTCATTCTTTTGTGTTACATAGCACGTTTGAGCTTCATGGGAACAAACAATGTTTGTTTTTGTGCACCAATCAGACATGGTTGGGCTCCTGTTTATGCTAACTGGTCAGTGTTGTTAGGTCAATGAATGTCTCAATTAGTTCTTTTCATCATCTGATAAAGTGATCCCTTCAGAATGCTAAATCGCTCTACTCTTTTATTGTGATCTCTTGCATGCATACATTTTGTGTGAATAGGCTTTCAGTGAAGGGATAGAAGGCTCTCAGATTTCATTAAAATTATCTTCATTTGTGTTTCAAAGATTAACAAAAGCCTTATCGCTTTGAAATGACTTTGGGGTGAGCAAATGTGTTTCATTTTGAGGTGATTTCAATATGAGGACCCCTTAAATACTGTACTATAGAAAAACACTCAGAATTTCCATTGTAAATGTTGAAAAAAAAGTATACATTTATGTATGATTTCATGAAGCCCATTGTACTATGTGGGAAAAACAAACTATGATGTGTTGTTTGTTAAACAAAATAATTGGCTGTACTGTCTTTGTGCTAAAGCCGAAACAATTATTAAGTGTACAGTATATTGAATAGGGTATATTTGTTCCTGCTGTATTATTAGAGCAGTGTTGGATTATAACCCTAAAGAGAATCATTTTATTGCACTTTTCACAATAAATTCTGTTCCAAAGCAGTTTTACATTGCATATTGCCTTGCGGCTCTCAGTGAGCAAGCTAAAGTCAACAAGCACAACAAGAAACTCTCTAGAAAGATACAACACCAATACAAACAATAGTATACATTGCAAAGAAAGAGAAATAAACACTTTGGACAAAAAAATAAAAAATATAGGAATGTCTGGTCGTAGACTAAAATAAATATCTTATTATTATTTAGACCTACCTAAAAAGTGATTTAAAATAATAATAAAAAAATAAGAGGGTCGCCATTAGCCTAGTTATTAGAGCGTCGACACATAGCACTAAGGTGCTTGCGGCGACCTGAGTTCAATTCCAGACTCAAGGTCCTTTGCCAATCCTTCCCTTCTCTCAGCTCCCCACACTTTCCTGTCTGTAATCTCCACTGTCCTGTCCATTAAAGGTAAAAATCGCCAATAAAAAAAATTAAATGTAGTTCTCATAAAAAAATTTTCTCATCCTGAATTGTTTCCAAACACTTTTGACTTGAATTTGTTTATATCATTCAAAAAAGAGGATATTTAAAAACATATTTATTATCGTATCGTATCATATCATATCATATCATATCATATCATATCATATCATATCATATCATATCATATCATATCATATCATATCATATCATATCATATCATATATCATATCATATCATATCATATCATATCATATCATATCATATATCATATCGCATAGTATCGTATCCCCACAAAACACCATTTGACCATCTTGCTGATCCCAGTTTGAAAGCATTAAAAATTCAAAGAACTTTTTGAACCTTTTCAAACCGATCTAAAGTCATCCCTTAGAGTTCGGTGTACAATACAGTGACATTTTAGGAAGTCTCCACCCTGCAGTGTACAGATGCCCACATACATTTATCTTGCTGTGAATCATTTACTGAGTTAGTGCAGGTCCCATTGATCAGTTCTGTGTGGAATTTTGTGGGGTCGGTGCGCTTAAGAGTTGGCCGGTTGCAACGGCTGGAGTAAATTAGCTGGACGGTTGTAGGGCTGGATTCAGACATCAAAGTGGGAATAGATAATGAGGCCATTAGTCATCCTACCTCAAATCACTCCAAAGAAGGTGTTTTTCAAACACACATTCACACACATGCTGATGCGTAGGCACATATTTTGATTACACTGCTCCCACAGAAAAGTTCTAATCGTGGCAAATGTTTGAAATGGAAATTGATTCAGAGCTATTTATGCATCATTTCAGATGCAGTGACTTTTGCACCTCAGAGACCCTGTCAAACCCATGCATTCTACTTCAGGCAAAAAAAAAAAAAAAAAAAAACTCTGCAATATGCACCCTAAAACATGCTTGGTTATTTTAACATAAATTTAGGTAAATAATGCACAAACCAAAACATTAGGTTAAATTTGGACTATACATTTTATATTTAAAAAAATTAGCTCAGCTACAGTTTTTTTTAACCCAACATACATATTGTATTTATTTAGATATCGATTGATTAATTGATTGATTGATTGATTGATTGATTAATTGATTTTTTAGAGTATAGAAAAAAATGACACTCAGATAGCATTCATTGGTGCAAATGCATATCCCCAATGACTGTCTGGTGAACCTCATTATGTATTTTTCAAAACTCACTCAGACATTAAAAAGCAAAAAAAGTACTTCTAGGGATTTTTTTTTTTTTTTTGGAAGCATAATATTTAGTGTACCAGAATTAATGTATTAATGGTATGATCTGATTTCAAAATTACCCCTTTATGGAGACTAATTCCTGCTGTAATGGCAAAGAGCATTTATGAAACAGCTGCTAAGCTTTCAAACAAACTCTGGCCTCATTCGGTTTTTGTTTAATTGTAGTTGCCTTGCCCCTTTTAGCTGTTAAAAGGATTCATCCGTTAAATCTCCTGCACCATAAATCAAGACCTCTCAACCCCAAAACCCACTGCTGAAAAGATATGGCATAAAATACTGCATGCATTTCACCCTGTGGTTTAAAAAATGTTATCAAGTATTTTTCTCCCACAGCTTAAAGGGGTTAGATGTGATATTAAACCATGTACGCAAGTCACCACCTTGAAATTATAAACTTGTTTCTGCATTTTGAGCAGTTTTGATATATTGAGTTTTAATGTTTTTGCAACACATAGCAAAAATGAAATATGAAACAAGTCTTTTTTTATACAAGCAAATAACAGAGACCCTAGTTGTGTTTCTAATGTACAATATCAAAATCCACTCACATAGAGAAATTTTGTTACAGGAATTTGGATATGCATTTGAATATATATATATATATATATATATATATATATATATATATATATATATATATATATATATATATATATATATATATACAGTTAAAGTTAGAATTATTAGCCCCCTTTTGAATTTTGTTTTCTTTTTTTAAATAACTTGCCTAATTACCCTATCCTGCCTAGTTAATCTAATTAACCTAGTTAAGCCTTTAAATGTCACTTTAATCTGTATAGAAGTGTCTTGAAAAAGATCTGGTCAAATATTATTTGCTGTCATCATGGCAAAGGTAAAAAATTAATCAGTTATTAGAAATGAGTTTTTTAAAACTATTATGTTTAGAAATGTGCTGAAAAAAAAGCTTCTCTCTGTTAAACATAAATTTGGGATAAAAATTAAATGGGAGCTAATAGTTTAGGGGGGCTAATAATTCTGACTTCTTTATTTGTTTTAAAACATAAAATGAGTGGTGTAACAATGTATCAACATAAAGCATAACATTTTTGGACAAATGAATTTCATATATATATATATGCATTTTTGGTTTAGACAGAATTTTGTAATGCTTTATTTTCTCTATATAGATTAGTGTGGCTAAAACAAAATAACAGTAAGTCAATATTATAATGCATTACTTTCAAAGTAACTTTCCCCAACACTGCTAATAGCAAACAAAGAAGCACCGCCACTCAAAATTTGAAAGCAAATGTTCAGACTTTTAATGAAGATTACCAAAACAAACTATTTTTTCAGTGGATTAACTTGCATGGATTACTTGTCCACCCAAAGAATAACAATGTGTGCAAGTTAAATAAGCAAATTATCTAGCTGGCTTAGAAGTTGTCTGTATAACTGTTGGGGTGGGTTTTTAAGCCATGGATTCCCTGAAAGTTTGTGGACCATGTGGTGTGATTAGTATATGTATCTTTCACCGCATTCAATTCCTGTGGCTCCTGCTGCCAGCTTCCACGGTGCCAGAACCTCATAATCCTTGTTAAAGTATCTCAAAGCTGACTGTGACCTCCATCCAAACCACAGTGGGATCAGCAGTGCTCCATCACTCAATACTGAATAATTCTGGCATTAATGTAATGGCTGATTCAATGACTTGTGACTACTGTGAGGCTGTGTGTTGTCACTCATTAGGACTATAGGGTGTTTAGGAATAAATCACAGCAGGTTTGTGCTAGGGAGCTAAAGAATAATGCCAAGGCCAATATTTATTAGATTGGGTTATATATTAAATATCCAATCAACATGAAAAGCTGTTTTTGTATTTATGTTTTAGAAGTGATCGTTATAAGTGCTGCAGTATATTAAAACCAATACAGTATGTGCTTAATCATCTTTGACACGTGATTTTTATTTTTTTTTCCCCACAGGAATACCAGATTGACATCATTTTTGCGCAGACATGGACAGATAGCCGGCTCAGATATAACAGCACTATGAAAATATTGACTTTAAACAGTAACATGGTTGGACTCATTTGGTTACCGGATACCATCTTCAGAAATTCTAAGAGTGCAGATTCACATTGGATTACTACGCCAAATCAGCTGCTCAGAATATGGAATGATGGGAAAATACTTTACACTTTGAGGTAAGCCATTTATAATCATTGGTTATGTGTTTGTTATACTGATTAATCAGGACGACAGAATGGATATTTATAGAAATAAAACAAAACTTTACTCATAAACTAACTATTATAAGGGATAGTTCATCCAAAATGTAAAGTTCTGCCATTATTAGTTATCTTCTCATTGACTACGTCTATGGACATCAGTAATCGAATTATTTGCCTTAATCTGAATATGACAATAATACGATTAAGGTCATACCTGTCAATCCTCCTGTTTTTCCCGGGATTCACCCATAATTTACAGTTCTTTCCCGCTATCATCCCGTAAAGGTATTTTCCCGTATTTCTCCCGTATTTTCAGTCTTTCTCTGAAGGGTGGCAAATAAACGTTAAAAAGCCGAGTCACCCTATTCGCAACCCATACCGCCGAACCACCAGGGTCCGCCCCTCGCTCTTAAATGTGAGTCTGTTCTGTGCTTTTGCTTCGTTTAGGCATGAAAACACTTTGAAATAAATATAAAAACGGCATGATTCCCTTTCCTTTCTATTACAGAATCTGTTTCCCAAACAGATTCTGTATACACAATTTGAAAAGAAGCAAAAGTCTGTTTGCGGTGCATGTTTAAACAGACATATACACATAATTAATAATAATAATATCTAAAGATGTCGATCTTGGTGGGGTTTTTTTTTCAAACACAACTAAATCCGTCCTATATGAGCATAAAAATTTAGGAAAGCAATCGAATGCTTTCATTATAACGTTAGATGTTTGTATTTTTAAAGTGACACCTCTGTTATTTAATGTAATCACATTTTTTAAAATCCAAATAAATAAGAGATTCATTTTTTGCCCTTTAATCAGAATGTGTAAGTTATACAGTGAAGAAACGGCTAATGAAATTTGATAACTTGATTCTATTTCTTTAAAATAACTATTCATTTTAATAAACTGAACTGTTTGCTAATGTATTTTCTGCTAATGTATGCTGTTTTTTTTTCTTTTATAAATATTAATAATAAAACGTATTACTGACCATTTAACTGTTTATTTTCAATAAAACAGCTCCAAATGAAGATATTTAGTAATTTGGGGATTTTTTTTAAAGGGGGAATTCCCTTATTTTGGGGATGGGCAAATCCCTTATTTTCACATCCCAATGTTGACAGGTATGATTAAAGTGATTACAGGAGTTACTTTTGAATGTTCCTTTTATAATACTGATTTACATGTTATCGTACATAATTCTATTAACTTCATTGCATCACCATGCTTTCCACAATTCCTCTGGAGTTTCATGTAATGTTGGGTGTTTCATTTTTAATTTGTCAACTTTAACTGCAGTTTGGCACTTTCACTTTCATTCAGGAACATTTCATGCATGTCACCTGCCATGAGATATTGGATGCTAGTATGAACTGCTGAAAGAGTGTAGTTGTAATAAAATTTGATACTGCATGCTGTATGGGGAAAAAAAAAACTCAGCATTTCGTGATGCAGGTGTCTGTGGTCATTCACTTACTCAGTAGTTGTAGAGAATAGTATTAAACAGCTGGATGGAATGTGTATGAGATATCCTGTCACAAAATGCAGAAAAAAATGTGCGTTCTTCACATGTTAATCTGATTTCTGTTTAGTTCGATTATGACATTAATCAGAATAGATGAATCAAAAATGGCAGTTTACATGGTCGACTCTTAAACAGAGTATGTCTTAATTGTATTAATATTTAAATCGGATTATTGGTGTCCATGTAAATGTATTCACTGTCACAAACCTTTAATAGTTTCTCTCATCTTCTAAAAACACAAATAAAAAACAGATATTTAGAAAAATATAGGTGATTACTGCAAATGTAATTGTATATGTTTTTCAAAATATTTTCTTCTGAAAGAAATCCATACAGGTTTGGAACAACTTGAGGGTAAATAAATGACAACAAATTTTATTGTTGGGTTAATTATCTCTTTAAAGAGAGAATAAGGAAAAAATCATGGGTTAGAAAAGGTATAATTGCAAAAAAAAGTTGCTTTTATCTAATTACGCATTGGACGTGTAATTATTTCCTTAGACATTTGAAATAAAAGGTCAAGAAGCATTTCTTTGGTTCTGAAACATGAAACTGTGAACAGTTTCACCTCTGAATGTGATAGTGGGTCACTGATATTTAGTGTCTTCTTTTGAAATGTTTTTTATTCATTGCTTGAAAGGTAGCAGGAAGAAAAAAGTCAAAATAGAAAAATTTTGTTGTTGAACACAACATACTGTCAGCTGTGTCAATTCATATAATAATCACCCTGACAAGGCCAGCAGCAGATGGAAAGTAGATTTTTTTAAGACTCACAAGCTTTTGACAAGGTCATAACAGCACTGTGAAAGGTATAAGAAAAGGAAAAATAAAACACAATACAAAATAGACAGTAGGTCAGCATCAGGGCTCTGAATTAGGAGTTTATTGCAGTTTTACTTGCAGAAGTTCTTTTTAATATTTGTTTATTTAGCTCTATTGAAACGGAATCAGGTGTTAAAGGCCAATTTTAGGTTCTACTGGTGAAATCATCTCAACCTTTCCAGGTTCTGCTGGTTGACACATTTGTTCATTTTATTTCTTGCCAAACTTAGGCCAATTGTAATCATTTGTTTTGGTTCGATTTGGAATTTCCTCAACTGTTGCTGAGCTCGGGGGATCAGAGTGAGCTCTCCTATTTAGCCCCACCCTGATTTTAATTTGAAGACAACTTTAACTGATTGTCTAATACTCTACTAAAACTTTAATCAGAGTAAATTGCGATATAGTTACAAAGTTTTTAAGTAATCAACAGAATGCCTAAAGGGACCTATCAAAAGTAAACAATCAGACTGCAAAATGTACTATGCCTATGTTGCCAATGTGTTAAAAATACTGTATGTATACAGTACTGTATGTCTAAAAATAACATTCTAGGGTAAATACATGTTGACAGCACATATGGCCTGAGGTTGATAATCAGAGTAGGGTTTTGGCTTTTCTTCATGTTAGAAAAAAGATCTGAAAATATGTTTACACTGATGCACTTAAAATGACTCAACAGGCAAAATGGCTACAAATGTCAACATGTTTGTGGCTGTTCGCTGATAATTTATTTTCAAGTGCTTAAACATTTCAAACTATGTGATAAAGTTACTATGTGATAAAATCAGTTTTGAAAACAAACAGATATCATAAGGAGGGGGTGTCTGTTAGGTTGTTATAACCGTTTTCCCAATCTTTCTGAATGAATTGCCTTCTTTACCACATTCAATCAGCACACAGTAGAAAAACAAGCCACCACCAACTGTTTTCATTTACTATTTTGTTACAGGATAATTTCGCTTTAATATTTTTGTTACAATACAGGAAAAAAAATTGTTGCAGTTTCCGTTCCCTGGAGACTTTAAAAGAGATTTTCCTTAAAACAATGAAAATAATTTGCCAGTGTGGTGTAAAAAAAATCTTATGTCAATAGTCAAAACAAGATTATTTTGCTTACCCCATTGGCAAATTATTTTGCTTGTTTTAAGCAAAAACGCAATTAATTTTGCAATATTATTTTTTAAACAAGACAATCATTTTGCTTGTCTAGGAAATGCTTCTTGATTTAAGAATTATTTAGACTTTAGATATTTGAACTATATACAAAAATAAAAAAATAAAAGTAAATAAAAAGCTTTTTTGCATTGGTCTTGTTTTTTTTTTTAATTGATTCTTTTGTTCACATGCCTGGAGTTAACAGTAAATGTGACTTGGTGGCACTCAATCCCTAAATTGTCTAGACGAGCACACATTCCTAATGAAGAAGAAGATACACAGATCCAAGATGATTGTGGAGCTGTGTTTATGGCGAATGCAACAACGACTACTAAAATGCAGTAGGGAATTATAAATGCATGTAACTGCAGATCTAATAGGATTCAATGGTGAGTTTCCTTTCACTTTTTTATGACTTATAAGTTCATTAAGCGCCATCTAATGTAAAAGAATGATTTTGCACGTTTACTTTGCTTATCGCTAGTGAAAATTGTTTGGGTATGAAAGCCGAAAAACATCTTAAAAATGCTGACAATGAGCATGAGTGAAAGCATCCTGGTGTTCAAGAGGTTTAAGGCTCAATGCTCAATGCTGTTGAGGCAAAATGAAACAGACGAAGCATTTCTGATGAGAAATAAGCAAGATGTGGCATAAAAGCAGTGGAAATTTTAGTTAACCACTTACATTTTAGTCTATAATTAAACTAAATACATTATAGAGTTGTTACAATGCTGCTCCATAGTACAATATACTGAAGTATCTTTGGTGTTTCTCTGTTTTCTATAGAACCAAACCAGAAATCGAGGGTGTGTGGTTTCATTATTGTCATGTTATTACCGTAGCAAATGGTACATGCCACTTGTTAAAATTGCTTATTTCTCCGGATTTTCTACATTCTTAATGTAAACACATAAGTCAGCAACATATATCACTGTTCTTGCCTATTGTGCATTTTAAATATGTATTTTATCATTTAAAGTTAAAGAAATGGACATCCCTCTGAACTGAACATGTATCTTATGGGCTACTTTTCAATGCAGTTTTTAAGTTCTGAAGCCTCTGTTCCTGAACTCTGATGCCTTTAATCAGTTGCCTTGACTGAGCCGATGTCATGTTGACATTTTTAGGAGCCTCTAATTCCGATTAGGTCATCGCTTTCAAAGTCCTAAACGGAATTTAGCTCCCCAGTCAAAAATGTATGGCATTTTCTGGAGTTAAAGTGCCACAAAAGTCAGCAGTCACTGTCAGAAGCACTGTGTCAAATAATATTCCCAGAGACAGAAAAGCGCAGTGTTCAGCTCTGATAAGTAGTGTTTATAATGTTTGATGGATTTAAGATGTCCATGTTATGACCGGAACATTAAAGACCTCTGGAAATGTGGCCAAGGATCAAGAAATCCTCTATTTTGAAAACTCTCAGTGACATCAGCCTGTCTTGTGAGTTAACGCTCTGATACGGAACAGTGTTTA